GTGAGCCGCAACCTCAACCGCTTCTCCACCTTCGTCAAGTCCGGCGGGGAGGCCTTCGTGCTGGGCGAGGCGTCGGGCTTCGTGAAGGACGGGGACAAGCTGTGTGTGGTGCTGGGCCCCCGGGGCCCCGAGTGGCAGGAGAACCCCTACCCCTTCCAGTGCTCCATTGAGGACCCCACCAAGCAGACCAAGTTCAAGGGCATGAAGAGCTACATCGCCTACAAGCTGGTGCCCAGCCACACCGGGCAGCAGGTGCACCGCCGCTACAAGCACTTTGACTGGCTCTACGGGCGCCTGGCCGAGAAGTTCCCCGTCATTTCCGTGCCCCACTTGCCGGAGAAGCAGGCCACCGGCCGCTTCGAGGAGGACTTCATCTCCAAACGTCGCAAAGGCCTGGCCTGGTGGATGGACCACATGTGCAGCCACCCTGTGCTGGCTCAGTGCGATGCCTTCCAGCACTTCCTCACCTGTCCCAGCACGGATGAGAAGGCCTGGAAACAGGGCAAGCGCAAGGCTGAGAAGGATGAGATGGTGGGTGCCAACTTTTTCCTGACCATCAGTGTCCCCACTGGCCCTGGGGCCGGCCTGGACTTGCAGGAGGTGGAAAGCCAGGTGGACGGCTTCAAAGCCTTCACAAAGAAGATGGATGAGAGCGCCCTGCAGCTTAATCACACGGCCAATGAATTTGCCCGCAAACAAGTCACTGGTTTCAAGAAGGAATACCAGAAGGTGGGGCACTCCTTTAAGTGCCTCAGTCAGGCATTTGAGCTGGACCAGCAAGCCTTTTCGGCTGGCCTCAACCAAGCCATAGCCTTCACTGCAGAAGCCTACGACGCCATCGGGGACCTCTTTGCAGATCAGCCCCGGCAGGACCTAGATCCTGTGATGGATTTGTTAGCGCTGTATCAGGGGCATTTGGCCAACTTTCCAGACATCATCCACGTCCAGAAAGGTAACACCCTTACGTGTTTTCTGAAACGATGAAGTTTTATGTATCAGAGGTATGCACACAGATGTAGGGACCAGGGGCTAAATATGCCCTGTGTCTGGCTTGCTGGCCTTGGATTAAATCTTTCCGTGTTTTCTCAGGTAAACTGTTGCTAAAAATACAAAAAACACGTCAGTGACAATTTTCATTCTGTGCCAAAGGTCTAGACATAGTTGGGAATTTTACTGGTCAGAGGTTGCTGTGTTTGGCTGTGTTGCCAAAGTTCTAGACATAGTTGGGAATGTTACTGATCAGAGGTTTCTGCGTTTGTCTGTGTATCTCTGAAAGAAGCCACATCTGCCTATACTGCTGATACAGTAAAGATTAATGGTCTTGTTTACAAACCCTGGAGAACAAGTGGTATGAAAACATCTATTACTCTCTGATGTACGTTAGGTGTCTTAAATCTCTGATCTAGTAGATAATATGAAGTAATCTGAAGATGCCAGTACTCCTCCGATGGACCACCTTGTTTGAGGTGCGCATGGTGGTGTGTGCATTTTGCAGTGTCAGACAGTCAGATGAGATGTTTAAAGCTGCTGGGGTTTCTCAGTTCGGCCATGCATTAAACTCTCTTGGTACCTTTGTAAGAATAATGGTCTGCCATGGTGTTCTTAGTTGGAGTTGTTCATCCTTTGCCCTTACTATCATAAAAGATGTTGCTCACCTGTTATCCTTTCAGCATCTTTCTAGCTGAAACACACTTCTGAGGTTCAGATTGCTGTTTGTATGGCGCTTTGTGATCCATCAGAGAGAAACTCCAAAAATGAAAAAATCATCTGCTATATAACTAGTGACACTTGTTCAGATATATAGTGCTACAAACTTCTATTTATGTGTAGATGATTTCCCTGTTACCTGAGAAAATGCATAAGCTGTATTGAAAATTATTTTGGAGATTAATAAGTGGTGGTCTGCATCCCAAGAGGCAGAGCTTGAATTGTCAGTCACGGTGAATCAATCTCTTTTGCCCTTATGTGACATTTCCAGGGTTTTTGCATCTGGAACAGTACCTCGAGTCTGACAATAAAAGAGTTGGAAGAGTTTTTTCAACAGATCAAAAAGGCAGGCTTCTGGGAGGTATGCATTATTGCTGGGAAGATCTGAGGAAACAGAGTTGGTACCAAGTGTACAATTTGTTGTTATTGAAGAAAGTAAGCTTTTCATAAAAATTGCATGCATCAAAGTCAGATTTCCATTCTCCTTTCAAATCTTGAAAATTGTGAGTGGAAACAAACTATCTTAATAGTATTTTGAAGAGAAAAGTGAGGTGTGCAGTCTAACCTTTGAGGAGTTGTTCTGGTAGCTGCTGTGGCATTGTGTTCTGATAACAACTTCCAAGTATTTTAAATTTGGAGAGAAGGATGGCATTGGCAATGCCTCTTGTTTGGGAGTAGAGCATTTTAAAGTGAGTTGTCAACTAATAATAGGATTATCTGCAAGCTTCTGGAAAAAATAAAGGGAAAGATTTTTTTATTAGGTTGAAAAAGCCAGCAGACCATATATACTATTTAAATAATATATCCTCAAGCTTTAAGGCTGTATAGAGTTCTTCACTGCAGTGTTTTTGGAGATGAGACTTTGAAGAGAGGATTGGGAATAATAGATACGTGCTTGATTCAACCCTGTTTCTTTTATAGTTCTGTTTGAATTTGTGCTTACTGGTTAGGTTTACCTTGCTGAACTGGAGAAAGTTCACCTAAGTGAGCTTCCACTAGAGCAGTGCATGAGCAGGATGTATGTAGAGTTGATTTTGTGGCAGAGCACTGTCCTGGAGCTGGTTGGAGAAACATACAGCCAGTCTGCGTGCAGGTGCTAATGCTCCAGCACCTCTGGGCTAACGCTGCCTTCAACACAGTATTATCCCTGGTACATACTTGCCACCAGAAAATGGCATAGGCTTGAGAGGTTGGTTTCTTGAGTGTCCACGTTCATGATAGGAACAGGGTTAGAACTGGGTTATGTGTTTGTTGTTGTCGTTCCTGTTACAAAACTGGCAAAGTGGAGGAAAACTGAGAGGAAGATGTTTTTTACACCCAGTATATTACTGTTTTATTACTCTTAAGAGTTACTTGTAACAAGGTATAACTTTTCAATTCCAAATTGTAAACTTCAGATGAAAATATGAACTCTTTGGTGTTCTTACAACATAAGAGCTTTCTTTTAAATTTGCTATCTGGGATAGTTGCCAGTTTTGAGAATTATTATTGTCTGTATAGACTAAACAAATATCTGTTGGTGATAATAGATCATCTGAAAAATAGAGTTGACATGTCTTTCTTCCAGTGTTTTATTTTCTAGCATAAAACTTCTTCCTGCAGTAAAATGACCCCGAAGTGCCCTTAGAAGTGGTAGAAATAGCAGCCTGATTGATGCATTGCTTACATGGCCATGCCTTTAAAAAGATGAACTCTGAAGTTAGGAATACTTCTCCTTTGTTTTCTACATAGTGCAAATATATTGTCCACCTGGGATAAAAAACAAGACCTTTTCTAGACTCCATTTCTGTTTTCCCCTAGACCTGAGAAGGACCAAAAAATAAAGGCAGCTGTGCCCAAAACATGGCCATGTCTGTGGGTAGAATATTCAACTGCATTGTCCTGTTATGGGTTTGCTCTACTGCAGATAGTTGAACAGCTGCTGAATGTGATTTGGAAGTGTGTTTTGCGGTGTGGACTGGGAAGTCTGCACCTCTGGGGTTTTTTAATCATTTCTGCAACTTCTGCAAAAAGAAGGACAGAGAATCTGTAAGTCAGAGACAAAAATTTCCCTCCGTTTGGGCTTTGTCTTTTCTCCTAGAATTATGAACCAAAGCCATGTAAGCCCCACTGTTGCTTTGTGTGCATATCAGCCAGAAAATGTGTTAACCATTGTGCTATTAATTGCTCTGGGGTCCAGGTCTTTCTACCTCCTGTGCTGAGGACACCATACATGATCTGAAGTGTGCAGAAAGGGATTGTCATTTTGGTCACTTGTGTAAAACATGTGAACCAATGAACTGTGGGAATATTTTCAAACTGTTTATTATCTTATTAACATTGTCAGTATTTTATGAAATGGCAATGGCTTCAAAAGGAGATTTTAAAAGATTCCCTTTCCTCTGCCTCCTTCCTCTTGAGCACCGAGTGTTTAAGGAATTTTCTGTGAGGGAAGGAAGAGTTAAAATACTGGCCCAGAAGAGACAGAGGAAGGATTTGAATTTTTCTGTCCCACATGCCAGTTGAGGACCGACTTGTCAGTGCTTTGTGAGAGACCTTACCCGGTTTCGTGTGCGCTCCAGTCCAGGTCTGAAGATTCATTGGATTGAGCCCTACAGCAAAGAACGCTCTGAGTTGGAAAGTCCACTTTTCCATCTGGAAATGCTTGCTTTGAGTACCCCACTGAGGCTGGCATAGAGCATATCCGCCCCAAGGCATACAGTCCTTACAAACAACTTGTTGTTTTATAGGTTTTATTTGGAAGACTAAGCGATCAGGGGAAAACTGGCACCTGCAGGGGTAGATGATGGCAGAGTGGTGTCTCGAGCATCTAAGCACCCAAATACTTGTATGAATCTAGCCCTCAACCCCCCATAGGTAAATGCTTCTAAAGTGCTTGCATGAAAATATTCCTGTGCATACCTGTGTTTTTTGGAGTGGAAGACCCAAATATGTTAGACAGATATACTTGTACTCAGTTTTCTTTAGCCTCTGGCAAAACATTCGTAGAAGAAGAATGTTAAGTTTAGTAGGCTCAAAAACTAAGCTGCACTTTTGTCATTTTCTTTTGCAGAACTGGTGTATCTTTCAAGAAATACTAGATTCAGTTGCTTTAATTTTGAGAAGAAAAGCAGCATCCCATCTTCATTTGTAATGAATAATGCTGCCTTTTCTGTATTTTTAAGGTCTACTTGTGGAAATTCCCTAGGCATTCTTGGCAAAATAATTCCTAAATATTAATTGCTAAAACTTCACTCAGCTGATGAGATCTTCTGACTTTAATAGTCTTCAACATAAACACTCACTGCAGGCCCATGCAAGTTCAGGTTCAGAAAATTTATGTACATGTAAGAATTTGAGATAGTGTATGCTACTACTGTAGCTCATGCTTGTCTGGCTATCTTGCCTTCATGTTTGCTTAGTGAGAGTAGAGAAGTTGCAGGTTTTTGGGTTTCTTTCTTTCAAGTTTTGTTTGAGGAACTACTATAATTGGCCTCTTGTGATTCCTGAGAGTGGAAGAAATACTGAGTAACTTGCTGTTTCATCTCTGCTTTCCAGATTTCTTCTTTCTCTTAACATTACGATGTTAATGCTAGACAAACTTTTGGGTATGATTTTTGCAAAACAGATTTAAGAAAGTGGTGTAAATATTTTCTAAGATGTAGGCAGCAATTCTGTTTCCTCTGCATGGCAAGATTTAAGAGAATTATTTAAAAAAATATCTGAATGACCTTTTTGCTTCTTGATTACTGTTTGCAAAGAGTAAAATAAGGCAAATGGTCTTATTTACCTGAAGCAAACTTAATTCTAGACATTGGCTTTAAAGAATGTGCTGGGTGTGTTTTTAGAATATCAAAATTGCAGGCGAAAAAACATTCCAGCTGGAAATGCATCAAAATTTGAAGCATCAAAAAAACCCAAACAGCACTGAAACCTGGAACTCTCTGTAACATTTTTAGCAGTGTTTTTTTTTGCGGGGGGGAGGAGGGGTATGTGTGTTCACAAATAAATCAGACTGGTCAAAATTCACACCTAAAATTTTATATCACAATGTAAAAGCAGTGCTTTTCTCTCTTGCTTACTTTCTAACCTCTTAAATTTGTTGTGCAGACATGGTTTTTCCATCCCTGTTTTTCCTTTTATCCACTTTTTTTTTTCCGCCCTCTGTCCCTCAGATCCATACACTTTGCATGCAGTTCAACTCAGGTAGCTACTGGCTAAAGAGCTAGGCATGTAATCCTAGCCAGATGACCCTTACAACAGCAA